AAATATAATATGCTTTATAATATATAATTTTAATTTTTTTATTGTATAATAAAAAGTGTTCACAATAATATGGGTACCCTCTGTATATACACTTGAAAGGATAGAAAGGAAGCTTGAGAAAAATAAAAGAAGAGTTTCAAAAGCCTATACCAATCTTTTCTGAAGTCTTGAATCTCCAGAGAAAGAGAGGAGAGTGTTTTTTCTACAGGTTCTTTTTTCTAACAAAATGTTCTTGCCTTTAATTTTATAGATAGATTTTTCTTGTATTTACTTGCTAAAATACAGGAAGTTTGTATCAAAGAGAGAAAGAAACAAAAGGAGAGAGACTAAAGCCTCTAGATATTAATGTTGTTAAAGAAAGTATATGGACTTTATTACAAAGAAATATAAAATTCTTTGGAACATCTGTTTTTTGTGTTGGTGAGAGAATCAGCAGAAAGAGTTTTTAATATTATTTATATAGTAAATTATATGTTAACTAAATTTTCCAATATATTTTATATTATGCAAGTCTATACAGATAAAAAAACAAGCTAATTATTTTTCACCTAATTGAAATAATTAAATTAAAATTAAAAAGAAAGTCAATGTCATTTATGATTTTGCAAATAGTTTCTTTGCTGTTTTTGACATATTCAGAGATAATAAATAGTTTTCTCGGTTATGTTACATCAAAAGCAATAATTGTCAAAACATATGTATAATAGAATTGTATTAAATGTATTGCATTAAATTTAATGCTATTATCATCATAATTAAAAATTATCATATAATAAAAATATAAATTAAAAATTCATTAATATTTTACTGTTTTATATACATTGAAAGTCAATCTATATCTTCTACTAATTAGCTTTAGGTCAGCCAAAAACTTTATTTCCAGTATATAATTTTTTCTGGATTTTTGAAAATTCATACTATCATCAAATTACGTTATTTTTGGTTCATACGTGTTATAGCAAACTATATTTAATATTATTATAACTTGCTGGTTCGAGTTCAGTTCATTGACGGAGTTATATTGTATTATTATAGCCATAAAACAAAATTTTTTGCAATTTAGATCTTGAATGTCATATACTGTGCATAAAAATTTTATTGTCGTCAAATCAGTAGTATAGGCAGCCAAAGCAAACAGAGTAAATTCGAACCAGGTTAAAATAGTTCCAGTCGAACCACTTAACATCTTCAATTATAATAATGCGCAAATATCACTTTAACTAAACGTTTATATTTACTAAAAATTAATTATTACTGTCTTTGAGCAGAAATTATTCAATGTAAATTTAAAATGCATCAAAATATTAAATTTTGCTAACATAGTAATGTATATTTATGCATATACAATATATATAATTTTTGTTTTATTGATAATAAAAAAAATGCAAATGTAAAAATATCACAAAATGCTGACAGTTTATTTAAAATGCCGTAATGCTTTCAGTTTATACAATGCAGTGGTTTATGAAATATATTGTATATAAAAATATGATGTTTAACTTCTTTAGACGACGTCTATAAACGCGAGAGCATGTATGGATTCTCATCTTTCATCTTGATCGTATATGTAATTTGTATATAAAATTTTAGATAGTAAAATATCACTTATTGATAATAAGGTGAGGGTTTCTCCTGAATCCATTACTGGAGGACGCAAGTACTGATGTTTTGTGTTCGCATCTCCGCTAGGAGCATATTTCTAACACGTAGTGGACTTCCTCTGTCACTCAATAATCAATATTGAGCATTAGCATCACGCTTCTTGCTAGGAAAGATACCACTATTGCCTCCGGTTTGAGCATTAGCGTCACGCTTCTTGCTAGGAAAGATACCACTATTGCCTCCAGTTTGAGCATTAGCATCACGCTTCTTGCTAGGAAAGATACCACTATTGCCTCCAGTTTGAGCGTTAGCGTCACGCTTCCTGCTAGGAAATATACCACTATTGCCTCCAGTTTGAGCGTTAGCGTCACGTTTCCTGCTAGGAAAGATACCACTATTTCCTCCAGTTTGAGCATTAGCGTCACGCTTCCTGCTAGGAAAGATACCACT